TTTTCTTACCCAAACTGTATATGCCTGCCATGCATTGGAACTGGTGCTTGCCCAGTTTCCCTGGTAAATGGACCAAGGTGCCACGTAGGCAGGAAGTCAGAGGTGACTGCCTCCCCCCTAAAAAAACCCCCAAAGCACAAAACTCAACATCTTGCCAACAGCTCACTGTTGATGAACTCAATTGGGCAGCAGTACTGGTGCTAGGGAGTAAGGGGAACCAGATGGGCGACAGTGTCACCTGAGAATAATTTAAGCATTTTGTGTGATGTTACTGAATACTATTGGTGTTACTATACCACTTGGGAGGGACTACTTGTGACAGAACCTCCCTACCATTAGATGGTAGGAGAAATAAAATGTGCCAAGAAATCTACGTTTTGTTTAGCATACCTTATTTCAATCAAGGTAGCTAGAAGCAAGTATTTTATAGGCAAAAAAATCCCCTCCATCACCCTATATAAGCTGTGGTTTTAGCACAAACAATCTGCCCTTGGCTTGTACTGAAAGTGCTTTGCCCGACGTACCTGTGCTAACAGTTCTGGGAATGGAGTTATGCCTGTTTTGTTACTAAGGCTTAGTCTAAACAACTTTGGATTTGGTAAAGTTATTCAGCTCATAGGTGGTTTACTGTTCAGTTAGCTGTGCCATTCTACTGGCATGGATGTATCTAGCCAACTAGAGATGCTGTTGTAGCGGTGATGGCACATGGACACAGGCAGGGCAAAGTTTGTAGATTGAGATTGTATCCCTTACAAGACTTTTCAGGTGCTCAAGCCCTTCATGAAACATTAATGAATGTTCTGAGAAATGATGTAGCCTGAGATTTTCATGATGGCCTTTTGTTCTTTTGATAAAACTAAGCTCTGTTAGGGAGAATGAGCTTATCTTAAGATTTGTCTAGTGTGTATACATTGCTTATGCTAGTTTAATGGATGCTTTGAAGAGGATTAGCAAGAAAAGAGCAAACAGTGGATGCTTATCCAGGAGAATATCCAGAAAGATCGTACAAAGAGTAGTAGCATCATCCTATGATGTTTAAGTTTGTGTAACTATTCTTTCCTTGTCATCTTGAGGAGTGGAGCAGTGTCCAAAATATGCTGTAATTGTGGATGTTGACTCCTCTGACATTGCACAATTGCTGTGAACTGCTGAAATGGTATTGCCTTCTGATTCTGTTTTCAGAAAGATGACAAGCGTCTGTCTACAGCCTGAAACTGGCACTGACTCTCCTTGCTGCGGGGTTGACTTCTGAACTGGGTTGGAGTGAGCAGCTGGGAGTAATGACCACTTAGGCTGTTGTAGGTTGTGTGGTAGCAGCAGCATATTAAGTCGATTAATGGGTGCTACATTTTGTGTTTATAGGTTGTGTTTAGAACTATGATAGTATTAAACTGTAAGTCCTTTCTAAAAGCTGACTTGGCCTTCAGAAGTTTTCTGTATTTAAAAAAACCCCACCACTGAGAAACCAAACTCAGTAGATGCTTTTCTCAGCTGATTTTTAAACACAGCAGGAACTTGCTGATTGATCCAGATGCTGATATTATGCTTATTATATATGCAATCATTAAGTAGATTTTAAGTTGTACATGGCAACTTCCTCTTTAATTGGAAGCTAATGTTAATGAAAGCTATCAGTTTGTTGCGTGCTACAAAAAAATTAAAGGACTTACATATAAGATTTATAATCTCAGTGAAACACGAAACAATCTCTTCCAAGACCTCAAGTGTTGTATAGCTTTCCATTTTCTGGTTTTTGTTTTCATGAACTGCCTAGTCTTAGAGACAAAATGGGCCAATAAGTCTCTTAAGTGTTTCAACCATCATCTTCTGGCTAGATGCTATTGACTGTACTTAGAATTACTATTTTTTTAGGAAAAGGTTATCCTAGTCAGTCAAACTCTTCACTGAACTGTGGAGTCATAGAAACTTTAAAGACCATCTATGCTTTTCCTGTTCATAATCTCAGACTGCTTGCTTTCATTTGTGAACAAACAGTTCTGGCTATTAGTATTTTTCTGTTGGCAACTTCGTGTTGCATCCAGGCATGTGTTTTTGGCTTTTGTAGCACATTTTTAAAAAGGACTAAAAACCAGTAGCGATGCTTTTGGGCTATCATTTGGCTTGCTTACCTTTGCATGCTCAGTAAGGGCAAGCATATTTAGCACTAAAAGGATCATGCATGAAAGACAACACGGACAACAGGTTGCCCAGAGAGGTAGTGGAGGCCCCATCCCTGGGAACATTCAAGACCAGGTTGGACGGGGCTCTGAGCAACCTGATCTGGTTAGCGGTGTCCCTGCTCCTGCAGGGGAGTTGGACTAGATGACCTCTAGGGGTCCCTTCCAACCCAAAACGTTCTATAATTCTATGAAACACCTTAGTTCATTGAGCAATTCCACTGTAATTTCAAGAAACAATGACTTCTATTTATTCAAAGCTCTGAAGTTCAGCTGTACTGCTGAATGCAGCTCTTGCTTGCTGGGGGTGAAATGCATCTTTTATTTTTAACCTTAGTGAATGCTTGGCAGCAAGTGCTAGTGAAGTAAATCTTCAAGGCTTGATTTAAGAAGTCTCTTGGCATTCTTGTATCTTCTTGTATTAGAAGAACTTTCCAAGCATGTTGGCCAAATGTGGTTAACCTTGTTGTGTTGGTTGTTACTGTGTCTCTGAGCATTGCTCCCACAACATCACGGAGATGATGTAAGGACATGCTCTTAGGCAATATAGCAGCACATGATGGCAGTTCTATTGCTTTAAGCTTGTAGAAAGAAAAACAAGTAAAACTTGCTGGTTTAAATGTCTAATGCAAATTGAACAATGCATGAAACTATGGCTGTTTCAGCTAACTACCAGTTTGAAATGTTGTGTGGAATATCAGGTTAGGGGTGTGTGTGTTTGTAACTGCTGTTTACAAACAGCTGCTCTGCATACCTGGATTTTTTTGTTGTTGTTTTTTTAACGACAGCTTGGTAGAATAGCTACAATAGGTACAGTGTACTGTACTGAAATTAGTCTCTTATAAGTTGCCTTTTAAATTAAGGCACCCAGTAAGTTTCATTTCAACTGTAGTTCTTGTTGCATATTCTTTTTTTCCTTCCCTAGATCAGCTTTGCCAAACGGCAGTGTGCCAATGTCTTCACGTTTCTCGCATAAAAATAGAATTGTGACTTGGCTGTTTGAAATAAGACAAAACCAGTCAAAATTTCAGTTGTTCTGTGGCTTTCTCAGTACTTGTTTTTGGTCTTAAAATCTACTTGCTCAACGTCTTCGTTGGGCTTAATTCTCATGGGGTAATAGCCCTTGTGGCTCTCATGTTTACCAAGTAAACAGCTGTGGCCATTTTAGATGTTACTTCTCAAATGGAGGTTAGTGATCCTGTAGTGGAGTTAGTGGGAAGGTGGGCATACCATCTGCTCTGCTGTCATATTGTAAACTTACCTTCTTGGGTGATTAAAGCAGTGTGCCATACTGAACTCTGACAACTGAGGTATCATTTAGTTCTGCAAAGTCTGTTACCTGCTCATTAGCAGCTCTCTCCTCTGGGGATTGCCAGGTAGCTGAGAGGATATAATATTACAAACTGCTGCAGCAAAATTAACTATAGCACATTTGTCAGAGCTGAGAATTATCTTGCAGTGATCATGTGTAAATGAGATTAGTCCCTGAAAGGAAGGAGTGCATTATTTATTGGCTTTTTGGAGGTGACATTTTATTACAAGACTGCCAATATCAATCCCCCATCTTATATTTTTAATTTGCCATCCTACATTATGACAAAGTTCAACATCTTTTATTGGGCACTAAAATTCCAATCTAATTATGCACCCTGGCGAGTTAAAACTTGTTAGATGGGTTATCTTAATGTTATGTGTTAAGTCACTTCTAAGTACTTAGATGCTACAGTAACAGAATGACACCAAGTGATAAGTACAAAACGAATAGATTCTCGTTCAAAGTGATTCTGAAACCTCAGCTGAGTGCTAATTCATTCTGATGGCTTCTGGCATTCTGCTTTCAAAGTGCTCTGGCTGTTGTGCCTCCCAAGGCAACCAGTGTCCAACGGGTATGTCCTGACTGGCTATTGAAGTGGCCACCGCAGAGTGATGTATAAGATAAATAGATAAATAACGCTCTTGGATGAGGGCGCTCAGATTAACAGGCTGTCATTAGGTAATTTTCTACAAATTTAATTAATCTTTAGCATCTTGAGTTAAATTTTACCCTGAATCCTTTTTGCAGTGTTATAAGTGTAAAATATAGTTACTTTTCTGAGTAGAAAGTGTGGGTTATGGTTTTCTGGGGTAATTACCTGTTTCTGATTGCTGTGATGGAATGAATGGTGTTTAAATCTGTCTGGTCTAATTCCTTATACAAGTAAAGGTACAGACCTATTGCTATTAATAATTGTGAACATGTTAATTTAAGCGAGAGAGACATAATCACTGTGTGTACTACTGAATTCTTGCAGTCTGTCTACCGTTCGTTGCTGCTGCTTGAGCTCTGCTTGCTTGCTACTACCCAAGCAGCTATACCAGTACCTAGTGTCCTAGTTTGGGTGAAAACTAGCCCAGATGATTTGAAATGAGCTTCATACCTACAAAAAGACAGTAATTGTAGTGTCTGTGATGATACCATTTACAAATAAAGTACTTAACAGCCCAGTGTTTGCAACTTTGTAAAAATGAAAATAGTATTTTATAAAAACACCACTGTGCTTTTGTGAATTTACTGTTTTATGGAGCTCACTTTCTATCATCTTTCACAGTTGTGTTTAACTTATGTTAGGATGCAGAAGTATTAGTGCTCACGAGATGAGAATTCAATGTCCAGCAGTGTAGAAGTATATGTAATTGATCCTGTGGGAGTTTGGGCGCATATAAAAGCAGTTGTCATAGCTGTTTGGTAACTTTGAAGCATGCTTTTCTTCCAGCCAACTCTTACAACTCTTTTTTTTTTTTTTTTTAACTTCAGTTTAGTTATACAAACTGTTTGTCTTTCAGAGCCAACACATAATCAGCCAAACCAACCAAGAGGAAGCAGAATATTTGAGAAGGCTCCCAGCATCTCATGAATGAACTAACGGAACTCGATAATGCTGGTTCTCCAGAGCCAGGTCTACGGCTCAGAAAAGGACACATGTCTGACACTGCAACAACACAGGCAGCCTTCGAAGAAGACAGCTCTGAGCAGAGGCTTCTTTTAGCGGACCCACCTCCGTCTTCTGACCAGGAAAATGTAAGTTACATGAGTATCTGTTAGGTTTGCTAGGAAAAACGAGTTTTGATGCAAGTGCTTGAAATAAGTTCTAGAAATGTGAACCATGAGCCGACAATCTCTTTATGCCTGCTAAATAATTGTAATAAACCCAGGAAGATGCCAGAAATATTCAGTTGAATGTATTGGAACTTGGGTGACAAGACAGGGCATAAGGGTAAGTTTACCAGCTTTATATTTTTTATTCCCTCCTCAAAGAAGTGGGACTTCTACGGGTTTCTTCTCTGCCGAGACACTGCTCATATCCAAAGACTTTTGTTCGGTAACTTCCAATTAATTGACTATGGCTGAATGTAATCTGAACTTTGGCTAATTGCGATCGTTTTAGAGATTAGGACAGAAAAATCCATTTGCAAGCATTCTTATTAGAGGAATGGCCACACTGGATTAGACCAAACATCCACAGTAATATCTTATCTTGGGCAGAAGCCAGTAACAGACTCATAAGGAAGAGTATGAGGATGGTGAAGCATGTTGTGTTACTTCCTTAGGACGCTCTCCCAGCCTTCGGTAATTGGTGGCTCACAGTTCCTGAACCGGTAGCACTGTTTTTGAATTTTTGGTGCATGAGCCTTTGTAAATTTTAGCAGCGACAACATCCTGCGGAAAGGCATTCCACAGCTTAATTAGGTGTTGAATGTGGGTAATGTCTCCAAGCACTGGACAAAAGTACCTTCTGGTCAGAGAATTTCAGAACTTAATTAATGCTTCTCACAGGGTATATACAGATGGATATCAGCACAGTTAAGTGGAAGAGGCATTCGGCTTAGGCTCACTATTAAATTTATCACAGCTTAATGAGTTTACTGTATCGGCTCAGTTACAGCAACTGTGTGGTTTTAGCGATCAGCAAAAACACGCTGATGCTACTTAACGGAACCTTCAGTGCAGAGGAGTTGGGCTGTTGCTGTAATTGCATTTGCCACAGATTCTGGGTGTGTGCATGGACAACTACCATAGTTCAGCTGACACGAGAACCTGTGTGAGGTTCTCTTAACTTGATTAGTTTGAGCCCTTACTGAATTTAGTTTCAAGTGTCCTTGTAATGAGAAATCAGGACAGGTATTCGTGGCTAATAAGCCAAACCAACTCTAAGTTGTACACTGCTAAAACTTCTATAGGACATTCTCAGTATCGTGATAACAGGAAACACTCAGAGCCTTTTTCTTTGCATTACCTGGAAGGTTGTAAAGTGTGTGTATAAGATACAAAGTGTTAGCCAATAGCTGAATTTGCTAAGGTTAGAAAAAATAAAAGTTGAGTTCTACTAGCAGATATTTTGAACGTACATGTGTTTATCTGACTGTGTTTGGGATCATCTTTTTTGAAGGCTGTTTCATTCTTGTTTCTGACTTTTGTGGTTGAATAACATGAATTACTGGTTGCCTGCAGATGGAATAGCCCAAAGTAAAAGCCCATAACTGATTATGGCCTATAATTCTTTCTGTACATTTGCTTAGCTAAATAGAAATTATTTGGATGAGTCAAAGTGTTTAACTTTAGAATTTTGGAAATAAAATCGTTAAAGTACTCTCATTCTCTCTTCTGCTTTTTCAGGTATTCTTAGCATGTGTTAGGTGTTTGTGTGTGTGTGTTTGCTTTCATCCTTATGATAAAAGTATGTATTTCTTTTGCTTTGGTTCACTACAAATATATTTAACTTTTTGTATTTGATGTCTTCTCTCTTTCCCTGTCTTCAAAATTGCCGCCACAGAAATTTGGTTTTGCCATTTGGGCTTTGCTGTTCTGTCTTTAACTGCATCATTTTCTCTGCCTAATACGGCCTCCTGCTTTTTTTGACTTTTTTTCAGCCTAAACTTTTATTCCTGTCCACTGTGATTTCTTGTTTTTAATACTGCGATATCTTTACTTTTTTTTTCCTTCTTAAAAGGTTGAATAATTGATGCTTCAGATGGAACATCCAAAAACACTCTGCTGTCAAAAGTACCAATATTAGCTTGCCAAATAGCCTTTATTATGTGACATACTGCAGTGTTCTAAACAATCTGGAAAAAACATTAGGCTATATATCTTCCTCTGCCTTGTATAAGCCTCAGCAAAGCTGTTACTCGAATGCCAGTAAGGATTCACTTTTTTGCTCTGCTGTACAGCCTGGCTGTGTGCAACTGCCTCAGTAGAGATGACTTATTAGTTCAAAAGCATGGTTTTACTTTGGTTTTGAAGAGGCTCTTGTTTAGCTAACAGTAATATAGGGTTATTGTTCTTCTGTAGATGGCAATAGTGCTTGGGCACACAAGCTAAACATAGCATTATAAAAGGACTCCAGTGATGACTGCTGCGTTAGTATTGTAGTGGCTAAATGCAGCCACGTTGAAGCTGATGGTAACAATCAAGGTATTCCTATGTTGGAGAAGGAAAGCAGCTGAGGGCTATATAGTGTCTTGATGGTAGAACAACCTTGGTCATTTAATATGCTTTTAAATGCTTCTACTTATGTCAAGCTAATTGTATTGACTTCCTTGAATATCATAATACAGATGTATTCTAATAGATGCAATACTTCCCCAAAATTTACTGGGCCTAAGACATGAGGCATTAGTGTAAAAAGGTGTGTATTTTTATCCTGTGATAATATTACATTGTTTACTTTTCCTTTGCCTCCTCTTACCCTGTTTATATCATTGCAGCTCTGTTATATAAAATCTGCCCCAAAGTCTCCTATACAAGATTCCTTTCCCTCTGCCTACTTGTATATCACTTTCTGTTCTACTCATAGGAGGAAGCAGTCTGTGCTCTTTAGAGGTAGTAGCTGCTTTTGATGAATTATTTTAGTAGTCTTTTCTAAGGAGGTGTGTGGAAGCCTACCATTGTATTGTTCAGAATTATTTTCCATCTTCCCGCCCCCCCCCCGAGCTTGCATTGTATGCCATCTATTTCTAATTTTGATGGGTCAAAATATTGGTCCTCTTTAGAAATAAAGCATCTTCATGGAAAGGTGGAGGTGGTATTAAGAAATAAAATTTAGCCCTAAAAGTTTTTGCTGAGGCCTTTGTCCCTGGCACCAGTAACCTACCTGGGTGGTTGCATAGCTGTGAACTAAAAATTATGTGAAAGGGCCTACTTAATATAAATTGTAGCACTCACTGAATGCATGTAGCAAAGGCTTAATAGCTGTATTGAGCATGCTTATCCAAAATAATAATAAACCAGCTGCATCTGTCTGCCAGTGCTGTTAATGTGCCAGTTTTATAATGATGCTTATAAGAAGATATGGAATGTATAAGATCAATATCCTTTTACACTTGAACCTCTTAGTCTGTATTTTATCCCATAACTCTGTGTTCTCTATTAGAGGTCATAGATTATCCCGTCTTCCAAGTATCTGTTCCAAAGAATAAATACACATCTTGCTATCTTGTTTAAACATGCAGTTAGTTTAGTGGCGGGTGAGTGCTGTACCTTCTGTGACTTTGAGAAATAGTGACCATGTACCTGAATGTTAGGGATTTGGTGGTGAGAAAGGAAGGGATCAGCCAAGCTGCATAATTCTTCTTTCTTCCAGCTGTTTTAAACTTTTTTTTCCTTTCTCTAGTTTACATGTGCTGTGTATGTGCTGATAAGGCATTTTTCAGCAGGTGCTTCCGTCCTGTAGTACGCTGGATTGCCTAGCCTTTGGGATGTAATTCTTTACCCTGTCCTAGTCTTTCTGTGCCTCAGCTGCCTTTGTAATTCCAGCATTGATAGCTCCTAAGGAAATCTCTTACTGTGGCTTTGTTAAGATGACACAATCAAATGTATGTGACTTCTTACAACCTGATGAATGGGCTTTTTCTGCAGCCCTAAAAACCTGTGCTTGACTCTTTCTTTCTATACTTTAACCTGCTAGTGACAGGAGGTAAACAAAAGAACCATTTTCTTTGCCTTTATTCAAATCATCAGGTTTTTCTGTTCCTGAATGATGATTCCTTTCATGCAGTTGAGCTGTGTTGTGCAGTTGTCCTGTGTGGCACCGAAATGCACTCATGAAGTGGAGACCTGTTGCTCTGAAGTGTTTGATAACATATAGTAAGGGTTTGGGAGGAGGTACACGTAACACTCCAGTCATCTGAGTGGACAGAAGAAATTTAGACAAATACTCATCTGAATTGGTTCTCAGGGAGCATGGGTTTTGACTTCAAGTGGAACTTACTTGACCTCTGACAAATTTCATGATACCTGCATGTAACTACAAGAGTCTTTCTAGAGCATAAATACGAAAGTGACTTGAATGAGGGAAACAGAAGGATGTAACAGATTTTCAGGTACAAGAGAAACGTTTTCGAATAATTGGAAGGTGACAACTGACTCAAGACTTTTAACTTGAATCATAGAACTTAACTCAAAGCCTTTTCTGTTACGGAAGTTTGTATGTATTGCCTACAAAAATAGTTTTGGTATTTTCAGAAAGGTGCATGTGAATTCACAGAATTGTCAACTTGTCTTTATGGTGCATGCTGTCTGAATGAAAAGTGAAGTCTCAAAGGCCAAAGGTAGACATTTGAGTCTTAAGAATAGTCTTTCTGGAGCTGTTATTCATAAATTCTCATCCCCTTAAATTTTTTTCCTTTATAGATTTACTTGCAAGTTTCTTGCTCATTTTGAAATAATTTAGCTTTATTTTCAGTCTAGCATTTTACTATTGGTACTTGGAGTTATGATTAAAAATGTGTAATCTGCTTCTCTATTTTCCTTCTTCCTGCATTGCATTATGGGTTTTGTTGGTAGAGGTAGTCTTCTGAGTGTGTATGGGAGAGGCCTGACATAACAGAATTTGAGGTTCCACCAAAACATGTTTTCTTTTGTTTTAAAGCAGATTATGTTCAAAATCTGCTGTTCTGCAGACTACTTTATCACCTCTTCCTTTCCTCCATTTTTGCAGCTCTTTTAGGGAAAGAATGTTATTTCTTTGAAAGCATGTGAATTGGCATTTTACTTCAGGTCGAAAGATATTAACATCTGAA